CTGTGCTTATGGGAGATTCTAAAGAAAAATTGCAAAGGTTAGTGGGTGAGTTTGAGATGTGTGTAAAGGTAGAAAGTTGAAAGTGAACATAGAAAAGAGTAAGGTGATGAGGGTATCAAATGATTAGATAAAGAAAAATTGGATATCAAATTGGGGAGGAGGAGTATGGAAGAAGTGAATGTTTTCAGATACTTGGGAGTTGACGTGTTGGCGGATGGATTTATGAAGGATGAGGTTAATCATAGAATTGATGAGGGAAAAAAAGGTGAGTGGTGCGTTGAGGTATATGTGGAGTCAAAAAACGTTATCTATGGAGGCAAAGAAGGGAATGTATGAAAGTATAGTAGTACCAACACTCTTATATGGATGTGAAGCTTGGGTGGTAAATGCAGCAGCGAGGAGACGGTTGGAGGCAGTGGAGATGTCCTGTCTAAGGGCAATGTGTGGTGTAAATATTATGCAGAAAATTCGGAGTGTGGAAATTAGGAGAAGGTGTGGAGTTAATAAAAGCATTAGTCAGAGGGCAGAAGAGGGGTTGTTGAGGTGGTTTGGTCATTTAGAGAGAATGGATCAAAGTAGAATGGACATGGAAAGCATATAAATCTATAGGGGAAGGAAAGAGGGGTAGGGGTCGTCCTCGAAAGGGTTGGAAAGAGGGGGTAAAGGAGGTTTTGTGGGCGAGGGGCTTGGACTTCCAGCAAGCGTGCATGAGCGTGTTAGATAGGAGTGAATGGAGACGAATGATACTTGGGACCTGACGATCTGTTGGAGTGTGAGCAGGGTAATATTTAGTGAAGGGATTCAGGGAAACCGGTTATTTTCTTATAGTTGGACTTGAGTCCTGGAAATGGGAAGTACAATGCCTGCACTTTAAAGGAGGGGTTTGGGATATTGGCAGTTTGGAGGGATATGTTGTGTATCTTTATACGTATATGCTTCTAAACTGTTGTATTCTGAGCACCTTTCAATACACTAAACCTATTCACCATACAAAACATTCATACTTATTACTGCACCTATTACATACATAGAACACTTAACTCTGATATTAACCCTCCCCTCAAACATCTCCTTGCCAACCTCAACAGAACACATGACCATAACACAAGGCACAGATCACTCTTTGATGTTCCTCGTGTCCATCTCACACTATGCAAAAACTCAATGCACATAAAAGGCCCTAAAATCTGGAACTCATTACCTGTAAATATAAAAGAAACACTACCTGTTTATAAATTCAAGTCTCTTCTCAAAGATCACTTACTCACCCAAAACCAAATAAATACTGAATAACTGAACCTTATAAATTGTATATCTTAAATGTTTCTCACAATTATATCACATAAATGTTAAACCTAAAACCCAATCTAACTTTATTATTTTTTAAATACACTACCTAACAGAATACTCCATTCTACTGAATGTACAACAATGCATACAACCATATGACCTGTCTTTGTAATACTCACTTGTGCTTTATAGTTATCTGTTTACATTAAAGTTTTATCACTGATGTCATCATTGCTTAGTTCATCTTAAGTTAATTTTAAGCCAGCCCGTAATGCTATGCATAGTATAAGTGGCTTTGGCATGCTGCTCTTATCTGTATTTTTTTGTACCTCTGTATGTGTGCACAAATTTTTAAATAAATAAATAAATAAATAAATAAAAAGCAGTGATAATGTGTGAGTGTGGTGAAAGTGTTGAATGATGATGAAAGTATTTTCTTTTTGGGGATTTTCTTTCTTTTTTGGGTCACCCTGCCTCGGTGGGAGACAACCAACTTGTTGAAAAAAAAAAAAAATGAGCAATTGTTGAAAGAAAGAAGGGCTGGAGCAGGAGGAGGTAAAGGAATTATGGTATGGATTTAAGAATGCTAGTACCAGAATATGCAGTACAAGTTTATGGCTACAAAAGGGTGGATGCAGGTGGGAAGAGGAATGATGTGGTAAATATTATGATGAAAGATGAGAAAAAAATTAGCAAATCAAAGGCTTCTACAGTGCAGAAATAATATATGAAAATCAGAATATGTGGAAAAATAGAGAGATTAAATGAGCAACAGGAAGTATTAGAAGAAAGCAAATGAGAGAAAGGAGTCTTTATCAGCAAATTTTTTAAGAATATTAAGCAGTTTTTGAGAGATCAAGCATAGAAATCCAGGGTAACAAATGAACTTGGAAGGTAAGAATGATGAAGATGAGAGGTTAAATGGAGAGCTAGGAAAGATAGGGAAAATGTTTTAATAAGTTGTTAAATGCTGATGATAAATAGGAAGCAATGATTTCATGCACTAGACAGGAAGAATAAGATCTGGTAAGAGTAAAGAGGAGCCAAAGGTAAGTGTAGGCTAAAATGAATAAAGCAGATGGGATTAAGACAGAGATGCTAAAAGCAGGGCAAAGATAGTTTTGGTATGGTTGGTGTAGTTATTTAATATAAACATGAAAGAAGAGAAGGTACCTAAGGACTGATAATGAGCAAGCACAGTTCCTTTTTATAAATGAAAAAGATATACCATATTTCCCAGCATATAAGATGCTCTTTTTCCCCCAAAAAGTCTTTGAAAATCAGCCTGTGCCTTATATGCTCAAGGTCAGGGTCAAGGGTAGGCTTTGAGTTACACTTTAGCAGTTGTTTACTAACGTCACATTACAACCACTTGGAAACATCATGCCAGCAAGCAACCGAAACTTGTGCGCCTGGTGTAGTAGAAAATATGGTAAGTATATAAGAATGGTAGAATTATTATTGAAATAATGGTAAGACATGAAGTAAGACTGCAGAGGAATGAGGAGGATTCAGGAAGGGTATAGAATATGTACCGTAGACCAAGTGTTTGCACAAAAACATATAAGTGAACAATGCCTACTTAATGACAACAGGGTGGATAGGGAAGCAATATGGCAGATGTTGCAAATGTATGGAACAGGTGGTTGGCCACTAAAAGCAGAAGAGAATTTTTATGCAGATAGTTAGGGTATGTAAGAGAGAGGGGGGGATTATTTTATAGTAAAGGTAGGCATTAGAAAGGTATGAATGATGTCACTACAGTTGTTTAAGACATTTATAGAGGAGTTGTAAAACAAATGAAAGCTAGGGTGTTGGGGAAAGGAGTGAGACTGAAAGCTAATATTCTTGAAAGAAAGTGGGAGATGTTGCAGTTGCTTTTCTTGCTGACGACACAGCTCTTTTGGGAGATTCTGAGAACTGGCAAAGGTTGTACTGTGGGAATATGGTAGGGTATGTAAAAGGAAATTAAAAGTGAAGAGAGAAGAGAGAAAGGTAAAGAGAGTAAACATAAATCTAAACGATGAAAGACTGAATATCAGACTGGAGGGAGGGGGTATGGAAGAAGTAAATGTGTTTAAATATTTGTGAGTTGTCTTGTTCTCAAATGTGTCTGCAAAAGATGAGGTGAACCATAAAAATTGATGAGGGAAAAAACTGAGTGCAATGAGGCATCAGTGGAAATCAAGAATTTTATCCATGTAGGCAAAAAGAAGAATATTTCATAGTACAGTGGTACCAACACTCTTATATAGGTATGAAGCACAGGGTTTAAATGTTGCAATGAGGAGGATGTTGGTGGCAGTGAAGACGTCATATATTAGGACAATGTGTAGTGTGAATATTAAGCAGAGAATTCAGAGGTTGGAGAGCAGAAAGTGTTGAGTTATCAAAAGTATTATTCAGTGTGCTGGGGAGGGAGTGCTGAGGTGGTTTGAATATTTATATAGGATGGGGAAAAACAGGATGACTAGGAGAGAATATAAATCTGGGGAAGAGGGAAGAAAGGGGTAGAGGTCACCCCAGTAAAGGTTAGAGGGATGGAGGTAAAGGATTGTTTCAGTACTCTGAGCTTAAACATTCTACAGGTTTGTGTGAAACAGGAGTGAGTGAAGGCAAGTAGTTTCTATAACTGCGTGCTGTTGGAGCGCAAGCATAGCAACATGTATGAAAGGATTCAAGGGAAAACCATTTAGCTGGACTTGAGTCTTGGAGGTGGGAAGTACAGTGTCTGCACTCCAAATGAGGAGCAAGGATGTTGCAGTTCAAAGGGTCACCTGAACTGCGATGTCTGCATGCTTCCGGCAAGACGGTGATTGAATGAGTGATGGTAAAAGCGTTTCCTCTTCTTTGAAACACCCTACCCCATAGAGAGGGGGTCAGTGCATTAAAAAAAAAATTTTTCACAATTTGCACTCATCATTATATATATCACAGGTGAGCAAATTTCCTTGAACAAATAGCCCCTGTTCACCTAACCATCAACAGGTACTGTAGCTGGGTGTTAGGAGACTGTTGTTAATTGCTTCGTGGGGGAGGGTCAAATACTTGGCTAGGGGGGATCTCAATATGGGTATATCATATACATACATACATATACCTTGTATGAGTGAGTGTGTGTGTGTATATGTGTGTGCATATAGGATATATATTTATTTATTTATTAACACATCAGCCATTTCTGATGTGTTAGTATGTATAATATAATATTATATAAATATATATATATATATATATATATATATATATATATATATATATATATATATATATATATATATATATTTATATATATATATATATAATATATATATATATATATATATATTTATATATAAATAATACACAAACATATATACACACACACAAACACACATATAAATATATATACACACACAATGAGCCAATTGCAAAATGTTAATCCTACAAAAAAGCATGTATTTAGTTACTTTGGCCTTGATCTTCATCATATATATAATATATCTATATATATATATATATATATAAATAAAATATATATAATATATATATATAAATAAAAAATATAATAAAAATATATATATATATATACACACACATGTATATGGATGAGAATCATGAGCACTAAGGGGATACAAGTTAGTGTATTATACATAAAGAATTATGTCTAGATATAAAATCTAAAGTGTAAATATAAACGGGACCAATAAATCAGGCAGAAAATATGATACCTTTTGGATTTTTCGATTCCCCACTGTCAGAATTTGCAGTCTGGGATATCGAATCACTTTTCGCGGCCTGTGCCGATTTATTGAACATTGCCTTCAACACACTTGATATGTCTAGAAGAGAGAATACACACTGTAGAAAGTAACAGAGTAACTCTGTTTGGATGCTACAGCTATGAAATTAGAAGATAGAAGAGGAAAAGGGGGGTTTGAATGAGAAAGTTTCCACTGTTATATTGCTGTGACAGACAAGTGAGTCACTGTACCAATTATTTCACTGTTACACTGCAGTGACACAACTGAGCAATATATCAATTACACTGACACAGATGCAAAACTATGAAAACTTCCCCAAGGACAGAGAACACGGAAATGCAGTATAGATAAACATATCATGGTCACACTGACAGATGATAAAACATAAATAAGCATAAGAAAACAGCAACAAACAAGTTTTTTTTTTTTAGCCTCAATGCAGACACTGCATCGTAAGCTGCCAGGGAATGAGGCATTTACAAGGGGAGAGGGTGACTTCCAGGGGTCTGAGGATAAGGTGCTAACATCCATCATCTTCGTGATTATACATTCAAAGTTAGCGCAAGTACAGTATAGTGATGCCTCAGCAAGTTGAGGAGTGAGCACCTTCAAAACCTGATCCCTCTGTTTCCATGGTCATGCTGTTAGTTGTGTCACATCATCAGGGATACATATCCACTGCTTGTATGATCAATTTCCCTAATTCCATAGGTGAAAACTGAGCATTACAGGATCCTCACTCAGATTGACGGTCCCTGATTCTGTTGCACATGTGTGATAGCAACATCAGGAAGCTGTGGGCTATATTAACAATGTTTGCAAAACCATAAAGGGATCATTTTTATTAAATTATTACTATTTTTTCAAGTAATAAACCAATGAAGTTATCTCTGTAATTCAATGTCTTAAACATGTGGCAAAGTTCTGCCACATTGCCTTAACATACAAACAAGATCAAATATCTCCAGGGCTGTATTTATGGGTTATTTTAAATCTCAAATAATTGCTCATACACCATTATTAGTACTATTAACATTCTTAAATCACAGAAAATGCTGGTTTTCAACATCTGAAATATAGCCCCTGACTTAAGAGTACAGTAATATAAATATCAAAGCCACAAAAGTTTTGTTTTCCCTCTGATGAATGAATGAATATTTTCCCATGCTATGCATTCTGTTTTATTGAATGAGTGTCTGCAGAGAAATAAGAATTAAATAAAACCAAGTCCTAACAAAGCATGACAAAAACAGAGACAGCAATAAGTGAACACCTGGTCAAACAAGTTGTGAAACAGGGAGATGGCCAACACCAACCAATCAAACACATCTTACATACATCAACATAAGTCTAATTAAAAACTAACACTGAGAAACCCAATTAACATGTGTGAAAATGAAATGAAAAACAAACATCACATGTATTTGTTAGAATTATCTGTGGAGTTAAAACAACTAAATAATAAAGTGAAATTAAAAAGAAAATAATGTATATGATTGACACAGATCTTAGCCAATTAAACAAATTTGTTAAAACATTTAAAGCACTGACATTAACTGGCTAAGACATGAGTCAGTGATGTAAACCAAATCATACAATATATATAAAATTTGTGGGATTTTGTATCATTTTACCCATTACTTTTTCTACCTGTAAATATAATGGGTGTCCTACACTGTCAAAATAGGTAAACATGGTCTGCAAAACAATTAATGTACTACAGATTTCAACAAGGAATTTATTCACTAATTTGCTATTCCTGCAAAGTATTAGAGCTGGCTGAAGTAATTAGTGGTAGAGCCTTGGAATAAAGGTGATCATATCCTTTCTGAAAAACTCATTAAATTAATTTGTAAAACAATAAAATTCCATTTATATTGGAAAGGGGCAGCATGCCTCATTCACACCAATACTCACCTCTCAGGTCCAAGCAAGGGTGCAGTCTGCATCTTACACTCAGTAAAAAGTTTCCTTCACCACCCCTTGCTAAGATACCTTAGTAGATATGACTAATGTCTGCCAAAGACTGACTAATCCTCACACACCTATCAGCATTCAGAACATAACAGCTGGGAAAGGTCAAGAATCCATGGAGCTCCCCACCACATAAATGAACCTTTCTAATTAAAATGAAAGTTTCTGCTGAGGGAACTTATGAAGCCCACCGGAATCATATATACACTGCCTCGTAACAGAGAAAACAACTACAGGATAGGAGCTAACCAAAAGAGAGTAAGGAGAAACAAATCCTGCCACTACATATATACCAAGCACCCCTACAGAAACCAGCATGCAAGCCCCAAGCCTAGTCATAGGCAATGAACTCCTCCCTCCCAATACACAAGTGAAAGACCCACCAATGACAGTCCAGAAATCAGTACAACCAATAGAGCAACTCCTCACCTAACTGTAAGATAAGAAACTTGGGATGTCTATTATGGAAGAAGGCCCAGGCAGGGAGATGCCCTCAACCTCATTTTTCCTCATTTTTATAAACCATGTTGCTGCCAGCCCAGACTTCAGGAGGAAAACATGATTACACCAAGGGCTCAGCAGGACATCATAACATAGTCCACTGTCTAAGGCAACCATACTGTTTCATGAATTGCTCTTAGATAAGATCTGTGATGAGAAGAACAGAAAAAATAGATAAGAAAGCTTACTGATTTCCTGTAGACGGTGTGATAAATGTTGTGTCCTGATGCTGTCAGATCACAGCTGGGACACCTTTAAAAAGGAAGGGGGAGGAATACCTAAGAGATATCCAGACAGCACAAAGGCCCTGCCTAGGTAGATCATAGGTCAAAGAAGGATGATCCATTGATAATTCAAATTGTCAATCTCCCCCCCCACACACACAGAGGAGGGTCAGGGGAGACATGATAACGACATACAAAATACTGCGTGGAATCGACAAGGTGGACAGAGACAGGATGTTCCAGAGATGGGACACAGAAACAAGGGGTCACAATTGGAAGCTGAAGACTCAGATGAGTCAAAGGGATGTTAGGAAGTATTTCTTCAGTCATAGAGTAGTTAGGAAGTGGAATAGTCTGGCAAGCGATGTAGTGGAGGCAGGAACTATACATAGTTTTAAGACGAGGTATGATAAAGCTCATGGAGCAGGGGGAGAGAGGACCTAGTAGCAGTCGGTGAAGAGGTGGGGCCAGGAGCTGAGTCTCAACCCCTGCAACCACAATTAGGCGAGTACAAACTCACACACACACACACACACGAAAGAAAAAACAACTAAAATAAAAAGTCTCACCTCCAAGGAACAGGGAGCAAGCCTGGAGCAAGATCCTGGAATCAGGAGGATGGTAGGCACAGCACTTGGTAAAAGATACTTGGCTGGTGAGCTGCAAGACACTGACAGCCAGTGGCCGATGGAAGCAGAACACCAAGGAAACAGAATCTGCACTGCATGAAGAGACAAGAGCTAGGACAGGTAGACAGATGTGAAGAAGTGTTGCGCCCTTGCAGACAAGAAGTGAGCAATGACTAACAGGCATCAGGTGCATGAGATGAGCATACCATGTGTATGGGATGCACTCAACTGGTCTGAAGATAGGCAGAATGTCTAGGAGAGTCGCCACAAAGTGGAGAAAAGAGCTGAAGAATGCCCCACACAAGACAGAATTTTGGTGATGCCACAAAGTGCAAAGCTAATAGAGCAGGACTCATGAAATCGTAATGACACGATTGCAAACAAACCTTACCACGGGCAGGATTTGAACCCGCGGTCAAAGAGTCTCAAAACTCCAGACCATCGCGTTAGCCACTGGACCAGCTAGCCACAATAAGATTCGTCCAACTAGGTATATTTCTACACCATTTGTGGTCACAGTGGTGCCTATGCTAACCTTCCTATGGTGTAGAAATATACCTAGTTGGACGAATCTTATTGTGGCTAGCTGGTCCAGTGGCTAACGCGATGTTCTGGAGTTTTGAGACTCTCTGACCGCAGGTTCAAATCCCGCCCCTGGTATGGCTAATAGAGCAGTAGAGGAAACTCGCCCAGGAAGGACTAACTTCCCAAAATACCACAAGCCTAATGGAGATTTTCAAGACAAGCAGTCTCATGCTATGATAAGATACAAAAATGGAGCTGTCACCACCCAAAAGAATTTACAAAAAAACAGGAGGCTTGCAAACTTATCTTAGCAAAAACCACTAAGAGAGTTTAGTGTTATACTGACAAGAAACAAGCAAAAAATTATACATGAAGAAATAAAAAATTATCATCATATTTATGAGGAGGAACTTAACCCAGTACAGACAAAGGAGAGATGCTGACACAAGGGCAATCAATGGATGGCTAGAATGTGGGGCTTTGCTAGGCTCCCAACTGATGCTGGATATAACTAGCAAACTAACTTAGTAAGTAGTGCTGAATGGGACCTATATTGAGTGTAAAGAGACTTGAGAGACAAGTTTTGATTTGAATGACGCATAGCATTTTCCAGTGAGAGCCCCTTCAATCCTTCAACTGCTAAATAGAAAAAAGGTATAAACCTATCAAGATACTCACAGCTAATATTTAGTGTAAATTAGATTTTATAGGTAAGCATATTTGGGAAGAACTATTCAAAAAAAAAAAGATTGAAAGAGGAATAGAAAAGTGGTTGAAAAATGGCATAAGTGTTCACTGAATAAGATTTCCATAAGAATACGAAACTATTTTTTTTTTTAACCTTAATGACCATCTTATGCAAAGGCTGGGCAACCCAAAGCAGAAAATACATTCAATATCATTCATGCAACTGATCTTGCCAGAAGTGTGCTGACATCACAAATCAGATTACCCTCTGACGGCAACATCCCCACCCCCTCCTTCAGAGTTCTGGTACTGCCCTTTCCCCCTCTAGAACACAAATCTGGCTATCTCCCCAAATCCCTCCATAAAACTTCTACTCACACTCCAACAGTATATCCATGAAAAAAAGTTGCCTCCATTCACTCCTCTCTAACACACTCACACTCACTCAAGCCCCTAAAACTCAAAGCCTCTTTTACATAGGTAGTGCTAGAGTTTCTATACTGTGAGGCTTGGGGTAGTTATCTGGTTGGAAGGGGCACTAGGAGACTTGCTTTGAAGCAGTGTTATTATTACTACTTTTATTTAGGGGTGTTGGGGAAGCTAAACTTCCCTAAGCATTCCCTTGGTAATGCTAATTCTTTTTTATCCCCTCCCTTCAAACATTTCTGGGATGATCCTTACCCTTCCTACCTTCCATCCCAGAGTTATACACCCTCTTCATCATCCTATCTCTCTCCATCCTCTCTACCTACCCAGACCACCTCTGAATTATACTCTTGGTCACCATACAGCCTTTTAATTTCTATGCTCTGAATTCTCTGCATGATATTTGCATCACACATTGCTCTTAAATATGACATTTCCACTGTCTGTAATCTCCTCCTTCCTGCAGCATTCAAAACCCATGCCTCACACCCATATAAAGGTGTTCATACTGTTTTGTTTAGCTTTTGTCTCCACAGATAAACTTCTTTCTACAGATGCCTTGATACACTATCCTTCCCCCCCCCCCTCATCTTTTCTATGGTTCACTTTGTCTTTCACAGACCCACCTACTGATATGTCCCTTCCCAAATATCTAAATACATCCATTTCCTCCATACTCCCTTACTCCAATCTGAAATTCAATTTATCAATGCCTAAACTTTTTGTTACCCTCATCACCTTGCTCTTTTCCACATTCATTTTTAGTTTCCTTCTTTTACATACCTTCCCAAATTCATCCACCAACCTTTGCAACATGTCTTCAGAATCCTCCCAAAAGAACTGGATCATCAGCAAAGAGCAACTGTGATAACTCTTACTTTGTATCACACACCTCTTCCCAATATCCTAGCATTCACCTCTTTTACAACCTCATTTATAAATGTGTTAAGTAACTATGAAGACATTATGCATACCTGTGTTAATCCTACTTTCACAGGAAAATAGTCCTCCCTTCCTCCTACATACCCTAACCTGAGCTTCACTCTTTGTAACCCACCTCCTATTCCATACATTTTCAAAATCTGCCACGTGGCTCCCTGATCCATCCTATCATATACCTTTTCTAAATCAAAAAATTAAATTAACAGCTCTTTACCCTTATCTAAATACTGCCCACTTACATGCTTTAATGTAAACATTTGGTCTACACATCCCCCACCCTTCCTAAAACCTCCCAGCTCCTTGGTAATCGTACTTTTTGTCTTATTCCTAATCTATTCAAAAATAATTCTTCCATAAACTTTACTTATTATACTCAACAGGCTCATCCCCCTATATTGTTTACATTCTCTCTCTTGTCCCCTTTTTTTACCCTTACAAAGGAACTATGCACACTTTGAGGCAATCCTTCAGTTCCTTTCCTTCTTTCATACACACAGAATGTGCAGGTCATCTGCGTATTCATGCATATATTGAAGAAACGCACCAACCACTCAACACTTATCTCCACCTGCTTTTAACATGTCTTAATCTCACTTAAACCAGCCTCTTTACACCTTTACATTCTACCCTCTGCCTCACACGTTTTCCCTATTTCCCTTCCTATACTATGTTATCTCCCCATGTTCCATGCCTGAAATTACTGCTTCCCAACATGAGTAACATTCAACAATTCACCAAAATATCCTGGCCATCTTTCCAGTACCTCCATCCCTCTCAGTTAACATCTCCCCTCCTTTATTTTTAACTGCTAAGTCCATCTATTCTCCAGGCTTCCTCACTTTATGCTTCCCTCTTCACAACAGCCTCTCTTATTCTCAGAAAAATTGACTGATAAGGACTTACCTGTTCTCTCACTGGCTCTCTTTTTGAACTCCCTCTCTACTCTTTTAACCTCCCTCTTCCTCTTTATATACACTTCCTCTCATTTATCTTTTTTTGCTTAGGAAAACCTATCATTTTCTAATTTTTCCTCCCTTACTACCCTCTCTACCTCATTATGCCATCACTGTAATGTAGCAAAAAAAATACTACAAACTGTAGAAAAATTTCATTTAAATTCAATGAAATTATGTAGCACAAAGCCTCACTGCTTCACGATGAAAACTGTACGAAGCCACAATCATACAGACTAATACTGAAAAAAGATATTAATAGCTAATATTTTTCATCAGATTCACTACAACATTGTAAGGTGAGGGACTGATTACCTGATCTTGAAAATGGTTAGGTAACACTGGATTCCACTGTTCACTGATGGGAGCAGAATAGAAGTGGATTGAAATGTTTAGTGTAAATGTATAAATTTCCTTGGTCAAACTGCAATTAAAACATACACATTCCAGTAACCCTGAAAAATAAATTATTATACAATGATAGTACAGTATGCCATAATCACCTCAGCTCTGAAAGCCTAAAATAAAGAAATAGAGTTAATATATTACTTTTAATAACATTTTATTGCCATGACCAATATAAATATTGAGTTCACTGAGGCTCTGTAGAGTAAAATAGTATTTAATAAGGTAGCACATGTAACAATCTGATTATACTTCTTGTTTATTACAGCTTATTTGCACTGTTGTAGAAAAATTACTGATAATACTTAAACCACTTTTGTTCAAACACAAACTCACCACTAAATTTAATATGTACACCTCTGCGATCATACAAAGTTGGGTTGAGGTTTGGCCAATAATAGAAAAGAAGGTTGGCAGCAGGAGGGCGGGAGGTTGGCGTTCCATATGCAATAACACACAGTAGATCCTTTACGATGTCCGCCTTTAATGCCATGAGGCATTCCAGCAGCTCACAATGAAAGGCTGTAATTAATCACCGTTTTAATATTTAATATAGATATATATTCTGAACATCACAGAATTTATATATTTTATTTACTTTTTTCAACATCGGTCGTATCCCAATGAGGCAGGGTGACCTTAAAAGGTTTTCCTCTTAAAATTTAGTAATTTATACAAGAGAAGTGGTTACTAGTCCCTTGCTTCCAGCATTTCAGTCGCTTCTTATGACACGCATGGCTTATGGAGGAAGAATTCTTTTCCACTTCCCCATGGAGAATATATTTTATTGATGCTATATAATGTCAACTAATATTAGGTTGTATTTAGAATGCTAGGTAAATGGGCACAGATGTTACTGTGACATTAGTTGCATCTGTATCTATTTACCTAAAATTTTGTCGGTAATTCTATCATTATTACTACATTCAGAATGGTTTAACAGAATTAAGCTCACTCATACTGTGCTAATCAGGCAAAGTTAAATGAGCTTGCTAAATTTATTTCATGGCAAAATTAAAAAAAAATTGCATACCTTGTAAATTCAAATAAATATATTGATGCAAAAGACAGAAATTTAAAAAATCTATTTTAAAAGAGGTTTCACTAGTTGGTCAAACTGTTGAAGATTGGCTTACCATTTATACTCAAGTGCTGTACTATGTAGGTTGGTTTTATTGATAGACCCCTGCCACATTAGAAAAAATCCTTACCCTTCCATATAACTTGTGTAAGTCTCCTCTAGTTTTGAGAGCAGTTTTATCACCAGCTGAGACTTCAAGTACAGTACTGTACTGCACTGAGTGTTGATAATGTAGGGAAACATTACCTCCTAATTTTCATGCAGTACTGTGAATGTATGGAGTGGAAGATAGAGAAAGAGTCTTGTTTATTATAATCTCAGCTATCTAGAGAGAACTAGAAGTAGCCAGATTGTAGCTAGTACTTCTCAACAGATAACCTATATATGGACTGGGCAGACACACAGATAAGTCTCCTTACGTCCGCTGTCTCTGTTCACCCACAGTAAAAATGTACCTAGGTGTCAGACAACTGTTGCACATCACATCCTGGGGGATGGTCAGACGGTCTGAGGAACTCAAAGTCTCTCATATGACCTAATGTTTCATGCTGAGGAGATACAAAGCCACCAAACTCTGCAACAAAATCTAGCCCACCCTCCAGGTATGGGACTGCATGAAAGAGTTGCCAATCAATTATCACAAGGGTAAGAAAGGCTAATTTCATGGGGAAGAATTTAGTGACTGTTTCTTTTTTTACACATTTCTCCCCTAAAAGTACACAAGTACCAAGTAGAGGCCCTTAAATTAGATCCCAAGGACATTAGGCCTGTTATGTTGCTTGGTAACACCTGCTCACCCCGGGGATGAAAAAATTTAGCAGCAGTTATAGTAAATTAAGGCCATGTTTCTGCTCTCTATTACCACCTCTCTAATCCAACCTATGGCTCAGAGGGTTACTGTAACCAGCAGTACCAGTCTAGGTACTTTCATGAAGTGCTGCAAGTGACTGAGGAGAAGTTACAACAATGAGAAATAAATTTCATAACTGAGAATTAAGAAACAATCTACATTAATGGATAATCTACATTAATGGACACCCTTTTATCCCCATAGTCTGTTAAATCAATGGTTCATTCTACTTTGCATTTACTCAAAAGATTTTTCTAATCAATAGAAGCACTAAATTTTAATAGATTTGCTTCTACGGCACACAATATCACTGGTGACAATGCTGGCTATACAATACAATTTTTATTTCCTTGCAAGATTACATTGATATTATGTGATTACAATAATGAGTTGCAATGCAAAGAGAGCCACTATCATGCCATGGCATTATGAGCTAACTAAATTTAATGGCTTACATACTACTTAATACTAAAGAAATTAATCATAGTTTGTATGAGTTGCACAACTGTTTTTATTTATAGTAGAAAATAGGTTTACTCAATTTACAATCTGGGGATGTTATATTGGGACTGGGTGAAATTATTTTGTAAGTTTTGTACATGTATATCAGTAATAATTATTTAAATTATATTATGGGAATATAACATTCTGAGTTGTTGATAGTAGTTTACAGTATGAGCATGCTAAAATTTGGTGTAAGGCAGCAATGGTTTGGGGTAGGTATCTATACTACAATGTAGTATTAAATAATGTATGGACTTTGGGCATCTAGTTTTGAAGTTTTTAGATTTAGGTAACTGGGAGATTTTTTGGTAAGGTTAAATATTTAGTTTTGGGTTATTTAGTTTAGGGTGAGTAGGTGGTTTCTGAGAAGTCTTAAATTGATGTTCAGTCTGGGTTACTTTAGTATTTACTGGTAATGTATTCCAAATTCTGGGGCCCTTCATGTGCATTGAGTTTTTATACAGTGTGATTTGGACACGGGGTATATCAAAAAGTGATCTGTGTCTTGTGTTATGGTCATGTGTCCTGTTAAGGTTGGCTAGGAGAAGCTTGAGTGGTGGGTTTATGTTTGAGTGTAGTGTACTATATATGTAGCAGGCACAAGAATAAGTATGGATGTTCTTTATGGTGAGCAGTTTTAGACTTTTGAATATTGGTGGAGTATGTTGTCTGGAGTGGGAATTTGTCATCATTCTGACTGCTGCCTTTTGCTGGGTTATTAGTGGTCTTAGGTGATTTAAAGTTGTTGATCCCCAGGAACAAATTCCATATGTGAGGTAAGGGTAGATGAGTGAGTGATACAGTGCAAGGAGAACTGAATGTGGAACACAGTCTGGAACCCACACCTGGTCAAGCACATCAAGAAGTTAGAGAAAGTACAAAGGTTTGCAACAAGGCTAGTCCCAGAGCTCAAGGAAATGTCGTACGAGGAAAGGTTAAGGGAAATCGGACTGACGACATTGGAGGACAGAAGGGTCAGGGGAGACATGATAACGACATACAAGATACTGCGGGGAATAGACAAGGTGGACAGAGATAGAATGTTCCAGAGAGGGGACACAGGGACAAGGGGTCACAACTGGAAGCTGAAGACTCAGACGAGTCACAGGGACGTTAGGAAGTATTTCTTCAGTCATAAAGTTGTCAGGAAGTGGAATAGCCTAGCAAGTGAAGTAGTGGAGGCAGGAACCATACATAGTTTTAAGAAGAGGTATGATACAGCTCAGGAAGCAGAGAGAGGACCTAGTGGCGATCAGTGAAGAGGTGGGGCCAGGAGCTGAGTCTCGACCCCTGCAACCACAATTAGGTGAGTACAATTAGGTGAGTACAGTACCGTATCTTTGACAGTATGCCTACTGTCTTAGAGATTTTCTTGGAATTTTGTTGTATATATGTCTGGAATTTGAGGTTACTGTCAAGGTGGATGCCCAGGAATTTTCCCTCTGTGAATCTTGTGATAGGTGATCCGTTTAGCGCTGTGTTAAGTGGGACATTTGTAGTTCTGTTTCCAAACTGAGGTTAAGCTTATTAGTCATCATCCAGGTAGATATTTTCTGCAATTCAGCATTAATAGTGTTGGCCAGTATGTCTGGGTTTGGGTGAGAGAAGATGTATGTTGTGTCATCTGTAAATAATATGGGTTTGAGTAGTTATGATGCATTCGGTAGGTCAGTGATGTAAATGAGAAAGAGGAGTGGGCCGAGGACACTTCCTTGTGGGACCCCAGCTGTAATTGGTTGTGTGGAAGAGTTTGCTCCATTTGTGTATACATATTGGCTTCTGTTACTAAGATATGAGTTTAGGTAGTTGAGGGAGTGCCCTCTTATACCATAGTGTTAATTTAATGTGCAGCAAATCATGGTAGACTGTATCGAAAGCTTTACATAGATCAATGAACATTCCCAGCGGGACTTCTTTCTTCTCAAGAGCAGTGTATATTAGTTCTAGCATGTATATAATAGCATCATTCGTGTTTTTATTAGTCCTGAATCCAAACTGACAGGGGTTGAGTATGTTGTGTGAGACGAGTTCAAAATACAAGAAAGGCAGCTGGCCTGTTGATGATTTCAAGGGTCACCACTGTGTTGAAAATGGTATAAAATACTGACAAGTTGATCATTAAGACACACGTGCAACAGTTGGGTATCTTTATTGTTGAAATGTTTTTGCCTACACAGCAGGCTTCTTCAGTCAAATACAGGCATAGTAGTGAAATGAAGATGTAATCAGTCCATCAACCTTGGAGATATAAGGTAGTTACTCTCTCAGCCTGGAAAAGAGTTCAGCTCCATGGTCCTGGAACAATATCATTACAGACCAGGCTAAGGGACTGACCACCTCATATCTCCAAGGTTGATGGACTAATTATATCATCTTCATTTCATTATTACACTTGCTGTATTTGACTGAAGAACCCTACTGTGTAGACAAAACATTTCAATAATAAAGATACCCAACTGTTGCACATGTGTCTTAATCATCACCGCTACTGCAACCCAGTCCTGGACCAGTCCTCCAGGTTGCTGGCCTGATCAACCAGGTTATTGGTGAAAGCACCATGCAGACCACCATAAGCATCATAGCCCAACTATCAGGAACTACCTGGAGTAACCAATCAAGTTCCCCTAGCCTAAGTCAACAAAAAAAACTCATTCCATCATGTTGCTACACCCCCAACAAAGAGTAACTGGATATCAGCTGTTGCTGTTCACCAAAACACCTGATATACAATAACACATCTTACTGTAAGTCCAGAAACTTTTTTTTTTTTTTTTTTTTTTGTTATCCATCATTTCTTGTTCCAAAACTGTTCAGAGAATAGGTGGATGTTAATAAGAAATTAATAATACATTCTACTGCTCCCATAAAAGGGTATCTTACCAGAGTTATCTGTATACTGGAAGATCATCATCAAAACAGCAGGAACTGACGCAGCTGCATAATTTTCCTCTTCACCCTCAGCAGCAGATGCACCTAAAGTAATAAAATTTATACTAAAGACTTTCCATTCAACTAAGCAATACATATTCTCTCATTCTCAAAAATAACAAAAAAGGCACAATACCGTGACTGGAACGATACATAAATAACCCGCACATAAAAGAGAGAAAATACGACGACGTTTCGGTCCGACTTGGACCATTGACTTTGTCAATGTGTTTCTCTCATTCTCATCCTCACATTCTCTCTCTTTCTTTCTCATTCTCTCAGTTTCTCTCATTCTCTCTTTCTCACCATTTATCAAGTCAACAATCACTTCAGAGTGTTCTTTTAATTTCACTGTATGTATATTAATACAGTACAGTATTTTGTACTCCATATACAGTACAGCAATTGAAAGCAGCTCATTACTGGATGGAGAATTGAGCCTCCTTGTGCTGAATGAAAGTTTTATGCACATGATTTAATCATATTCATTTCAGGTTTACAAGCATTTGGATCCTATTTGATATTTCCTTGAAAATTTTAGCAGAAAAGTATAAATGAAATATTTTCCCTGAAATGCATCTCTGATTATAAAACTTTCATGTGCAACTACTGCATACAGGTCATTCAGCAATGTAGGTAAGACAAAACTTGTGAGAGTACAGCTCTTGCTGCTACAGCACGAGGCTGTCATAATGCCAAAGTGGGAAAAAGGGACAGCAAGAAGCAAAGGAAAATAGTTACAAGTTTTGAGAGTGAAAAAAAGGGGAAAAAAATGAATTCACAGACATTACGGTAAGTCAGAATGATATACGAGCAAAGTGTGATAACACAGTAATGACCTGCTGTAACAATATAATAGCACACTGTAGCACACAGCACAATACTCACCCACAATAACTGGAGAGATATATAATAATAACACAATGTAACAAAATAAAACAAAACTCATGAACAGAAAACAGAAGAATATACAATACTGTAACAGCTCGGTGTAGTACAGTAGCACTATACTCACCTACTGTGACTGGAAGAATATAATAGCACAGTGTAGTAATCAGCTGATGATGCAGTGTGTCTGGTATGGAAGTCATCATGGATGCCACAAGATATGGCAGAGTATCAATCACCTTGCGCTCCAAGAAGACCACCAGGCAGGCCATGGTATTCAGCAGTGCCTGACCAAACACTAGTAAAACATAAATAACATATGTTATCAATTACATATGAGGAAAATATTTAAGGTGCTACTATAACAAGTGACAAGTGTATAATGTATATAAATGGGACTTATTTTGATTAGCCAACACTTAGATGATCATAAGAAAAGCAGAATATGCCAAAATAATAGGGCTCTAAGTGGATCAGGAAATCAATGCCTCCTCCATGGCCAGGCTCAGACCAGGCCTCCTAATATGAAAATGAAACACAACACTTTTCATGGATTTCAAGAGTTTTCCTACTCACAGCCCAGCTAGATCTAAGCTGGCAAAATGGTGGATACAGCTCTCCAAATCACCTAACTTCAAATTCTCTGCAGAGAGCTTGAGTATTTATCAGTGAGGTAATCTCTGAACTTGTAAATGGTGGTTTGCTCAGTTTTGGATTTTGCTGGCCAGGTTTGATCTTAGAGTCAAGAGGTGATTTAGTTTGTGTGCTGTTCCACAGATCTGGATGGAAAGCTAATTTGGTTTAGTTAATATTTCTTTGGCTTTAGCACATGTACTTAAACCCAGAATTTGAGTGTTTTTCCAGGTTTTTTATATCTTGTTTTTATTCATTAAACTGTTAGCACAATAAAACTGCTTGGGTTTCTTTATTCACTTGGTAAGCGTTGATTAGTCTGCATAATTGAAACTGAAACTGAAATTGAAATGTTTATTTCTCTGTAAAGATTACAATGTGGGGTTTACACATTGTGCAATATTAATTACAATGTGTGGTTTAGATTTTTTTTTTTTTTCAACAAGTCGGCCGTCTCCCACCGAGGCAGGGTGACCCAAAAAAGAAAGAAAATCCCCAAAAAGAAAATACTTTCATCATCATTCAACACTTTCACCACACTCACACATTATCACTGTTTTTGCAGAGGTGCTCAGAATACAACAGTTTAGAAGCATATACGTATAAAGATACACAACATATCCCTCCAAACTGCCAATATCCCAAACCCCTCCTTTAAAGTGCAGGCAACATTGTACTTTCCATTTCCAGGACTCAAGTCCGACTATATGAAAATAACCGGTTTCCCTGAATCCCTTCACTAAATATTACCCTGCTCACACTCCAACAGATCGTCAGGTCCCAAGTAACATTCGTCTCCATTCACTCCTATCTAACACGCTCATGCACGCTTCCTGGAAGTCCAAGCCCCTTGCCCACAAAACCTCCTTTACCCTCTCTCTCCAACCCTTTCGAGGACAACCCCTACCCTGCCTTCCTTCCCCTATAGATTTATATGCTTTCCATGTAATTCTACTTTGATCCATTCTCTCTAAATGACCAAACCACCTTAACAACCCCTCTTCTGCCCTCTGACTAATACTTTTATTAACTCCACACCTTTTCCTAATTTCCACACTCCAAATTTTCTGCATAATATTTACACCACACATTGCCCTTAGACGGGACATCTCCACTGCCTCCAACCGTCTCCTCGCTGCTGCATTTACCACCCAAGCTTCACACCCATATGAGAGTGTTGGTACTACTATACTTTCATACATTCCCTTCTTTGCCTCCATAGATAACGTTTTTTTGACTCCACATATACTCAACGCACCACTCACCTTTTTTCCCTCATCAATTCTATGATTAACCTCATCCTTCATAAATCCATCCGCTGACACGTCAACTCCCAAGTATCTGAAAATATTCACTTCCTCCAAACTCCTCCCCAATTTGATATCCAATTTTTCTTTATCTAAATCATTTGATACCCTCATCACCTTACTCTTTTCTATGTTCACTTTCAACTTTCTACCTTTACACACATTCCCAAACTCATCCACTAACCTTTGCAATTTTTCTTTAGAATCTCCCATAAGCACAGTATCATCAACAAAAAGTAACTGTGTCAATTCCCATTTTGAATTTGATTCCCCAAAATTTAATCCCACCCTTCTCCCGAACACCCTAGCATTTACTTCTTTTACAACCCCATCTATAAATACATTAAACAACCATGGTGACATTACACATCCCTGTCTAAGACCTACTTTTACCGGGAAGTAGTCTCCCTCTCTTCTACACACCCTAACCTGAGCCTCACTATCCTCATAAAAACTCTTTACAGCATTTAATAACTTACCACCTATTCCATATACTGTACTTGCAACATCTGCCACATTGCTCCTCTATCCACTCTATCATATGACTCAAGAAATCGTAATAACACGATTGCAAACAAACCATACCCCCGGCCGGGATTGAACCCGCGGTCATAGAGTCTCAAAACTCCAGCCCGTCGCGTCAGCCACTAGACCAGCTAGCCACAATAAGATTCATCCAACTAGGTATATTTCTACACCATAGGAAGGTTAGCACAGGTACCACTGTGACCACAAATGCAAGTTTTTACAGACGAGTCTCCAGCTAGCGTGGCCGTGACGAACTCTAGCTCAAGTCCCTTCACTGCCGTCAACATGACTCAAGAAATCGTAATGACACGATTGCAAACAAACCATACCCCAGGCCGGGATTGAACCCGCGGTCATAGAGTCTCAAAACTCTTGAGTCATGTTGACGGCAGTGAAGGGACTTGAGCTAGAGTTTGTCACGGCCACGCTGGCTGGAGATTCGTCTGTAAAAACTTGCATTTGTGGTCACAGTGGTGCCTGTGCTAACCTTCCTATGGTGTAGAAATATACCTAGTTGGATGAATCTTATTGTGGCTAGCTGGTCTAGTGGCTAACGTGACGGGCTGGAGTTTTGAGACTCTATGACCGCGGGTTCAATCCCGGCCGGGGGTATGGTTTACTCTATCATATGAATTTTCTAAATCCATAAATGCAATAAAAACTTCCCTACCTTTATCTAAATACTGTTCACATATATGCTTCAATGTAAACACTTGATCTACACATCCCCTACCCACTCTGAAACCTCCTTGCTCATCCGCAATCCTACATTCTGTCTTACCTCTAAGTCTTTCAATTATAACCCTAACGTACACTTTTCCTGGTATACTCAGTAAACTTATTCCTCTACAATTTTTACAATCTCTTTTGTCCCCTTTCCCTTTATATAAAGGGACTATACATGCTCTCTGCCAATCCCTAGGTACCTTCCCCTCTTTCATACATTTATTAAACAAAAGTACCAACCACTCCAACACTATATCCCCCCTGCTTTTAACATTTCTGTCATGATCCCATCAGTTCCAGCTGCTTTACCCCCTTTCATTCTGCGTAATGCCTCATGTACCTCCCCCACTCTTACATTCTGCTCTTCTTCACTCCTAAAAGATGGTATACCTCCCTGGCCAGTGCATGAAATTACCGCCTCTCTTTCTTCCTTAACATTTAAAAGTTCCTCAAAATATTCTCGTCATCTACCTAATACCTCCATCTCCCCATCTACTAACTCCCCTACTCTGTTTTTAACTGACAAATCCATACTTTCCCTAGGCTTTCTTAACTTGTTTAACTCACTCCAAATTTTTTTCTTATTTTCATTAAAATTTCTTGACAGTGCCTCTCCCACTCTATCATCTGCTCTCCTTTTGCACTCTCTCACCACTCTCTTCACCTTTCTTTACTCTCCATATACTCTGCTCTTCTTGTAACACTTCTGCTTTGTAAAAACCTCTCATAAACTACCTTTTTCTCTTTTATCACACCCTTTACTTCATCATTCCACCAATCACTCCTCTTTCCTCCTGCCCCCACCCTCCTATAACCACAAACTTCTGCCCCACATTCTAATACTGCATTTTTAAAACTATTCCAACCCTCTTCAACCCCCCCCCCCACTACTCATCTTTGCACTAGCCCACCTTTCTGCCAATAGTCGCTTATATCTCACCCGAACTTCCTCCTCCCTTAGTTTATACACTTTCACCTCCCTCTTACTTGTTGTTGCCACCTTCCTCTTTTCCCATCTACCTCTTACTCTAACTGTAGCTACAACTAAATAATGATCCGATATATCAGTTGCCCCTCTATAAACATGTACATCCTGAAGCCTACCCATCAACCTTTTATCCACCAATACATAATCTAATAAACTACTTTCATTACATGCTACATCATACCTTGTATATTTATTTATCCTCTTTTTCATAAAATATGTATTACTTATTACCAAATCTCTTTCTACACATAGCTCAATTAAAGGCTCCCCATTTACATTTACCCCTGGCACCCCAAATTTACCTACTACTCCCTCCATAACATTTTTACCCACTTTAGCATTGAAATCCCCAACCACCATTACTCTCACACTTGATTCAAAACTCCCCACGCATTCACTCAACATTTCGAAAAATCTCTCTCTCTCCTCTACACTTCTCTCTTCTCCAGGTGCATACACGCTTATTATAACCCACTTTTCACATCCAATCTTTATTTTACTCCACATAATCCTTGAATTAATACATTTATAGTCCCTCTTTTCCTGCCATAGCTTACCACTAGTATGCCTAAGCATTTTGGGAAGACTAATACTAATTCTTACTCTATACTGACACAGGTTATAGTGGCTTTCTTTGTACCTAACAAATTATAAAATATAATCACACATTATAACCTTTGCAAAGAAATAAATTTTGTTTGTTTGTTTATTTATATAATTTTTCTAGTTCTTTGGGAATATTATTTCATAGTTATGTTCTAGTCAATGGTTCTGAGTATGTGTTTTGTTAGCCATGGATAATTTAGTCTACTGTGACCTTTTTGTTTTTTAAATTACATGCAGAGGCCTTAAATTTTATAGGAATACACGGACACCTCCATGGGGAATCAAACGTAAATAAAAGCAAACGTATTATGAAAATAGATTTAGTGAAATGAAAGGTGACATGAAAAGTACCTGGCAAATCCTCTCCAAAATTTTGGGCTCAAGGAAACCGACTGGAAATAGAGAGATAGACTTAACTAATCAAAATGAACCTCACATGCAACCTATAGACACGGCCGACAAGTTTAATGTCTTCTTCTCTACTGTAGGATCAAAGCTAGATGAGTCAAA